AAAATATATACTAAAAATGTCCATTAATGTATATACTCAAATTTGTGAATGTCAAATCAATGTTTCAATAACTGTATCACATAATTTTTTATATTAAGCTTAGTATACACAGTATATACAGCACAGCATGCAGTACGCAATATGTTCTCGGTCCATTCTGAACACTGACGCACCTCTGTTGGCCACCATGACCTTTTTGATGGGTTTGTATTCCAGTGTCTGGGGTGCGGTATGGGCGGAGCGGGTCATACTCCACACCCTCCTGATGGCCAACAGGCCCAGGGCAGAGCGCTTTCCTCCCACCTGTAGCAGCATCTAGTAAGCGAGAGCAAAGATAGATGTTACAAAAAGCTCATTTTTAGTCTACTGAGTGTTATCTGCATTTCTAAAGAACCAAAATGATTAGTAGCCTTGCAGTGTTTCTCACAGGAGCCGAGCTACTGCTTATATGGAGTTAAGAGTCAATGCTCAAACTAAAGGGAAAGTGAGGTCAGGGATAAATATGCATGAGACAACAAGAAAGCAAGCCTGATATAGTACAAATGAGTGCTGCAAAATGTGACGACAAACAACAACAACAAAACTATCAACAAGCAATTGGGCAATACTAGCCTCTACTCTGTGAGAAGATTCTAAAGGCTGTCTTTATTTTTTTAAAATGCTGTATTTCAAGTGTATCCACATACCGCTGCAAAACATGAATACAGTCTAGTTCCCCAAGGGACAAACTGAACTATTGCCTATGCACACAGCTTAAAATGCCGAGACTGAAAACCTGAAACAACAGCAGTGCTGATTAAACTCAGTGGGAAACACTGAAGGATCAGAGAGACTACGAGGAGACAGGAGACAAAGGCAGAATAGCCTATGAAATAGACAATAAAAGGAGATTTAAGTTAAAAATCGAATGAACGCGCATGACAAAATCGAAATATGACGTGTGCGCAATCAAAATTAAAATAGCTCACTTGGCTAATCTACTACTATTCAGGTATCACGAGGCAAAAACCATCAGTGCATCCAGTGTGCTCTCACTTATATTCAAAGAAAACTACTAACTGCACAGTAACAAACACTCAAAGAT